CACCCATCCATGAAACTTCCACCAACCCTGTAGCACTAGTGTATGCTAGCCATACATAACGCTGGACCCTATAGGCTTTCGAATATCTGATCCTACCCTAAGTCCCTAATCAACAAGAACAGAACATAAGGCCAAATCAAACATTCTCAGGCTATAAGATCGTAATTATGTACAGTCGTGATACATACACAAGCAACTACAGTAATGATGTCAATCTCATATAAGGAAAACCCTAGGCTAGCAGGCATCATGTAATCAGGAAATTCTATCATGCAATTCCTGAAGATCCCTAGCCTAGTACTAACATGTTGTTCTAACATATCACAATATCAAATAACTGTATGGTATTTTGGGGTCTACTTACTGGCTCCGGCTGATCGTACACCCTGCATCCTCTTTCACTTATTTTGAAAACCATTTAGAAATCATTTTGAAAATCTTTCCTTGATTTGAGACTGGATTCACACGAGTGTTCCTCCAATTCACTCAGACCAAGGCTCTGATACCAACTTGTAACATCCCAAAAATTCAAGCCAATTTAAAACTTTTTAAAACATTTAAACCATTAAGTTATTACAGTTTGTTTTCAAAATAGTTTAATCATCAGAGTATCCCCAGAATCAAATCATAAAATAATGAGATATGAGGAGCTGTACGATCCCGCCTTCGCCTTCCCGCGATCATCAGAAGTACCTGAAACATAATCTACAACTGTAAGCCCGAAGCTTAGCGAGTTTCCCCAAAATACCAACGCCATACAATATAACCATATCATATAACAAATACAGAACAACATGCATACTGGGCCTTCAGCCTGACAGGACCGCCTCGCAGGCCTTCAGTCTATCTGGACCGCTCTCCGAGCAGTCGATACGTCTTGACCGCCTCGCAGGGCCTACAGCCTATCCGGACCGCTCGCCGGGCCTTCAGTCTGACTGAATCCCTTTGCAGGGCCTTCAGTCTATCCGAGCCGCCCTGAGTATGTTGGCCTTCAGCACAAAGCAGGATCGCCTCAACCCAACCCCAAATCAAACAAACATGTGTACATAAATATCATACTCTTGCATATATATAACAGTCATACCGATCTAACAAATCATCAATCATAGCAACATCCTATAACCAGGATACCGACCTAACCAGGTCACTAACATAGCATCATCCTATATACCGGGATACCAATCTAACATATCATAATAGCGTAACAACATCCTATCTACCAGGATACCGATCTAACAGATCATAACAGCATACAACATCTTATCTACCAGTATACCGATCTTAACAGTTCATAACAGCATACAAGCATACTATAACCAGAATAACAATCCAAAGGGCCGGCCTTGGTGCCTTAGACGTTGTTGATATAGTGAGGATAACTCACCTGGCACTGCTGAAGTCCCGCGGATGAAACTCCAGCTGCTGGTTGACAGATTCCCGAACTGCCAACATCAAACAACACCCAATTAATAATTGGGTTCCAAGCCCTAGGTCCAAATCACACTCCAAAGGCCGAAAAGTCAAGTAATGGGCCAAAGCCTAACATATGGCCCAAATTTCCAAAGTGGGCCCAAACCTTTACATGGTCATAATTAAAGGCCCAACTACTTAGTCCAGTCCAAACACTTGGCATTTCCAATGGCCCAATATCATATAATCATCAAGGCCCAAATTATGGCCCATTTACGGCCCAATTTTCCAAATTGGGCCCAAACCCTCATATGGGCCTTACCCTAAAGCCCATTAAATTGTTCTAGTCCATTTGCTTGTTCTTGGATGGTCCATTAATAACCCAATTACCAAAGCCCAAAAGAAAGGCCCAACGCAAAGCCCAAGTGAAACTAGTGTTTCACATAAAATGACAATTAGGGTTAGGTGTTTCTCACTTAACCCATTAAGGACTTAATCCATTAAGTCCATTACTCTACTAGGTATATCATATGGTGAAGTCGGGCTTAATACACAATTCCATTAAAATGGCCCAAATGTGGGTCCCGATAGGTCCAAGCCTATAAATCCAATATTAGGGTTTTCTAAACCCTAATTAGCGTTTCCAACCCAATAGGCCCAATACCAAGTCCAAAATTATTCTTTAAGCCCATTAGGGTTTTGCTAGGTCCATTAGGGTTTTGCTAGTGGGGCACCACCCACGACCACCTCGGGTAGTGGTGGTTAATGGCGGCTCACGGCGGCGGCCACCACCTTACGGTGGTGGTTTGAGTTTCTTTTTATTATTCTCTTTTGGAAATTACAATTATAATGCTTTCATCCAAAGATAAACACATGCACTAACTAACATAAACGCACATACACACACAGCCACACCGTGGTGGCCAACAGTGGCGCTTGGTGGCAGCCACCACCTCACGGTGGTGGCGGTGGCTATTCACGACTTTCCGGCTAAACAAAGCACACACTCATATACTTCAAATTACATACAATGCTCCAGCCACCCACCTGGTGGCTCAAGGCGGCGTCAGAAATCATTTTGGGATGGCAGCCATCACCTCACGGTGGTGGCAGCGGCTTCTTTCGTTTCCCCGACAAGCAGCAACACTCCCCAACTCATCTTTGTTCGGAATCGGGACGCAACCACCACTAGGTGGTGCATAACGACGGCAACAGCAGCACCATCGGCTACAACAACGACTCTTACGGCAGCAGCAACGGCGGCGGTCTCTGTCTCACTGAAGCGGTGCAACGACCACAACGACTTGGTGAAATGCCAGCATGAAATGAAGAAAGAGTCGTGAGCCGGGAAGGCGACTCGTTCACGGCCCACTTAACGACGATGCCCACAGTATCCCTCATCGGACTTCGGTGGCTCCTTCGGGTGCACGACGCCTTCGGCGGCTTGGCTGTTGCGACGACAATCCAGCGACTGGAACGGCAGTAGGTGGCGGCGTCGGAACTCTATCCTGGTCGGAGCACAAGAGGGAAAGCCGGTGATGGCGGCTGGAGGAGTGGAGGGGTGGCGGCCGACACTTCTTTAGGGTTAGGGTTTACAAATGAGTCATCGGAATATATATATACCCGGTCCTTTTTACAACTTTCCCATAATTACAATCCTGGTCCCTCCCCATGGGATCTTTTCAAATTTAATCCAATAATTACCCCTTTTACCCTTGATTCCACAATTTAATTTCAAAGTAAGGCCAATATTTACCATTTAAACCCTCAGCATTAAAATCCTTTACATCTTAGGTACAAAATCTACCAAACAGCCCCCAATATCTTAATTATGACATATGCAGGCCTTCTACCTCATTTCCTTTTAAATTAATTCCAAATAATTACCACAGAGCCCCTGTCTTCATAAATATTTATAAACTGAGTCCGGAACTTACACTTTTAACCCCCGAATTCTGAAATTGTGACAATTAGCTCTTCGAGGCCCACCTTTGATATATAATTATTTATTTTAGGGCTACTATTCTTTCATTACTTTATTTATTTATCTACTTAATAAAGGGGGCGTTACAGAATTTCTAGACTTAAACTTAGAATGCTAAACAACGATTGTGAGGCGAGTGTCTATTTTATTTTAGGTAGTTTACCTGAAATGCCACAAGCACTAGAATACTTTAGGATAAATGTCTAAGTTGCTATTATGTGGTAAATGACTTATGTTATAGCATACTTTAGGATACCTGCCTAAGATGTTGTTACATGAATGGATCTATGGTTTGTTGCCGACCGAATCTAGAAATTTTATGTTTTTAAGATTCTAATTATATATATATATATATATATATATATATATATATATATATATATATATATATATATTAAGAACTAGCATATATTTTTAGGAATGATAAGAAGGACGTATGCGTCAAAACATAACTAAAACCTCCCCTATCATAATGAACTTGCCTCTCGGTACCCTAAACATCTACTTCAGTGAATAGAAAACATGACAATCACAAGGAGCGGGAGAGTCGTCAATAACGAAGGAGGCCCGACACCTCAGAATGTTGGAACAAGAGCTGCTCAGCTCTTGATGGATGAAGTTCGGTTGATGTTGCAAAACATGTTAGATCAACAAAGTATTGAGTTTATGGAACTCCTAACCCAAGGACTAGCTAACACTAAGGGTAAAGTATCGATGGTCAACGAACCGATAATCGATGGACGAGTCAACAATGGACCAGTTCCCTCTCATCCAACAACGGTTCAGGAAAGGAACAATGACTCAAGAAGTCATCAAGGCCCACTCCCTCCTTCGGAAGATTCGGAGATCCGAAGAAATAAGGAACCCAGAGGTTGCTATAAGTATAAGGACTTCACGACTTGCAAGCCATCATCATTTAGTGGAAAAGAAGATCCATTAGGAGTCATGGATTGGATTTTAGAAATAGAGAAAGCCTTCATAACTTGCAGTTGCAAGGACAAATTGCAGAACACCTACGTTATAAGGCAATTCAAGGGTGCAACGATCCGTTGGTGGAATACGTTGGGAAAAACCCTAACACTGAAGAATTCTTGACCTACTTCAAGCGCAAGTTCTGCTCAACTGAAAGTATGTTGGAGTTAGAGAATCAACTCCTAACACTGAAGAAGGGATGCATGTAAGTTGAAGAGTACACAAATGATTTCACTAACAAAATGGAGTTTGCCTTGCGTGTTGTTCCGGACGAACTGGAAAAGATCGATAGGTATGCCAAGGGACTTCCATGGGAGTACGTTGTACCAGTTAGACAAGCACATACTTTCGAAGCAGTCATCTAGACTGCAAGATCAGTTGAAGACATGATCAAGAGAAGAGTTGCCGAAAAAACTGAAGTTGGCCAGAAGAGGAAGAATGAAGGACTCTCGAAGTCTGAAAAGAAGAGTAAAATCTCAAGATCTAACCCCGGAGACAAGATGTATGGCCGTGAGTTTCAAACACCGGGTATTTAACTGTGTTATTGTTCTCATAACCCTAACCCTAATGTGCAAACAGCCGTCACCCTCTCCATCTTCACTTCCGGTAGCTGCCATCACCATTGGAACCCTCATCAGCCACCGGTTACATCACCGAGCCCGGCAGCCCGGTTCCGCCTGCTGCCTTGTCGACGAGCATTACCAAACCACCATCTTGCGCCGCCGACGTTCCCTTTGCATGTGATGACGAAGTCCGTCGCTGCTGCCGGAAATGTTGGTGCGCCGTTGGAGCCGCCAAAGATGGAGGAGGGAACCGCGAGCATCGTCGTCGCACGGACCGTGAGCGAGCTGCTCTCCGGCGTACTCTCCTTCTCCACCTTCTTCCGTTGTTGTGTCATCACTGCCGCCCCAGCGGCTGTTCCCTTCCGCTACCGACCTTCGTTAGTTACACGCCATCAGGTGGAGGCGTGTCCAAGTTAACGTGTGCTGTTGCTACGGTTTATGTTTGCTGTGTGAGCATGAAAGCTTAGCCGGAGATCGAAAGATAAAACCCACCAAGGCCGCCGACCATGGTGGTTGTTGCCCTGGAACCGTTTTCCGCCACCACAGGCCACCGTGAGGTGGTGGCTGTGTGAGTAAACCCTTGGATCAGTGTGTTTTGAAGTTGGTTGCATAATATTTGGCCGGAAATCACAAGAGCCGCCACTGCCACCACCGTGAGGTGGTGGCTGCCACCTTCTACCACCACCCGGCCACCATAGGGTGGTTGTGTGTGTGTTTATGTTGTTTAGTGTATGTGTTTATTTTGAGTTTCAGCATTGTAAAGTGTAGATTACAAATTGAATAATGGAAAGAAACTAAAAACCACCACCTTAGGGTGGTGGCTGCCGCCACCGGCCGCCGTGTCGGGTGGCGGTGTGCCTTGTTGGATCGTGACTTGTTTGGATGTTTGGACAAAGGGACTAACAAACCCTAATGGGCCCAATGAGGCTTAATGGGCCTAATAAACCCTAATGGGCATAATGAAGATTAATGGACCTAAAAGCCCAACAGATGACTAATGGGCCTAGTGAAACCTTAATGAGTCTTGTGGACCTTAATTGATTGAAAGACATATCAGTTGGGCCTAATGGGCTAAGATGGGGGTTGGAAACCCTAATTAGGGTTTAGAAAACCCTAATATTGGATTCATGGGCTTGGATTTATTGGGACCCACTTTTGGGCCATTGGAATAATGGAATTGTGTGATTAAGCCCAATCACACCATATGACTTATTTAGAAGAATGATGGACTTAATGGATTAAGTCCTTAATGGATTAAGTCCTTAATGGGTTAAGTGAGAAACATTTAACCCTAATCGTCATTTTATGTGAAACCCTAATTTCACATGGGTGTATTGTTGGGCCTTCTATTGGGCCTTGATGATTGCGTTATTAATGGGCCTAGGGTAAGGCCCATGTAAGGGGTTTGGGCCCAATTTGGAAAATTGGGCCATAGATGGGCCTTACTTTGGGCCTTAATGATTATATGATGTTGGGCCTTAGAATGAGACCATGTATAGGCCTAGGCCCAATTTGGAAAATTGGGCCATGTGTTGGGCCTTGATTCCTAATTGACTTTGGGCCTAGGGATTGGGCCTTGGGCTTGAATAAGCCAAGCTAGGGGTAATGTGGTAATTACCCAAAGAATGTACTTATGGTTATGTAGTGGGGCCCAATTATTAATTGGGTGTTATTTTGGTGTTGACAGTTCGGGAATCTGTCATCCAGCAGCTGGAGTTGAGTCTGCGGGACTTCAGCAGAGTGGGATTGTGTCTACGGGACTTCAGCAGTGTGAGGTGAGTTACCTTCCAGTAGCGGTGGGTCTACGGCCACAATGTCGGCCCACCAGTAGGAGTTGTATGTTAGATGACTGTCTTTGTGATGTCATCTAGGTTTGCTACTACCTGATACGTTATATGCTGGCATGATATGTTATATGTGATAGCAGTAGAGTTCGGTTGTTAGGACCGAAGGGTAGGTCAGGCACCCCAGATATGTCTGACAGTATGTGAAGATATGTTGTATGCTGGCATGATATGTTATACGTGATAGTGGTAGTAGGAGGGGATTAGTCCTCAAGTTCGGTTGTTAGGACCGAAGGGCAGTTCGGACACCCCAGATATGTCTGATAGTATGTTTATGTTATGATATATGTGATAGTAGCAGTAGGGGTGGAATAGTCCCCGAGGGTCGGTTGTTAGGACCGACGGGTAGGTCAGCACCCCAGAATGGCTTGACATGGGTAGGTCAGCACCCCAGAATGGCTTGACATAGGTAGGTCGGCGCCCCAGAATGGCCGTACCGGGTAGGTCGGGCACCCCAGAATTGCCGTACCGGGTAGGTCAGGCACCCCAGAATTGCCCGACAGTATGTATGCTGTGTGATTGTATGGTATGTGGTATGATGGGGGAACTCACTAAGCTTCGTGCTTACGGTTTTCTGTTTTGGTTTCAGGTACTTCGTGTTTAAAGGAAAGGAGTCGGCTTGATCGCAGCGCATCACACTATGATTTCCGCACATGAGATCCTTGGGGATTACACTCTGATATGGTTTTATGATAATATGTTTTGATTACTGACACTTTGGTTTGACACGAGATATTATTATGAATGTTTTTATACTGATGGTTTTATGTAATAACTTATTTAAAAATGAAATTTTTGGCCTTGAATTTTGGGATGTTACAAGTTGGTATCAGAGCCTTGGTTTGAGGGATTCAGACTTACTCTCGGGTATGTCTGAACTCAAACTATGGGCTTGGTATTTTCAAAAGTAAAACCATTTTGTAAAAAAAAAAAGAGTTGAAAAGAATCTGAAAAGAGAAAAGAACTTTGAGAAGAACAAAGTGTGTGATGTGTGCAATCGGCCGAGCTCAAGTAAGTTTTCCCCAAGATACCCATACATGTTATGGTATGGTATGATATGATATGATTATGAGAATTTCATGCTAGATTTGGGCTAAGGATCTAGGAGGATGCCTTATATGCCTATGGTATGTGCTTTTAGACTTGCATGCTAGTACTGACCTGTCAGTAATAGGATAGCCTGTTTAGGTTATGCCTGATTATATGAGCCTTTGAAGTGCATGTGCAGATTCCTGATTAGAGGATAGAATGATTTGATTGGAATATGATGGTTATATTTTCTATTGTCTGAATGCTGCTTGCTTTGTGCTATGGGGGACTCTTAGTAATATGAGCTAACTATGTTCATGAGGTAGCTAGTTGACATTACTGGGAATCTTTCAGCAGCTGAGGACTGGGTGAGTACGGGAATCTAGGAAAGCCTAGGATATGTTTCAGTGGGTTGGTAGTGAGGCTCAGTTAGACTTGGGTTTACCAGTTTGAAGAAGTAACTTGGAGGATTCAGGAGGATTGCTGAGGAAAGTATGGATAGGTGTGGAAGGTAGTATTGAGCCCGTACTACTGAAAGCACAGGATCCATACTCGAATCGGTGAGAGTCTTGGCGAATCTGAGAAGCTTCGGAGAGAAGTTTGTGACCCAGTTTGGGGACAGAGGATGTTCCAGTGTTGCAGCTTAGCTATTAGCAAGCGAGTTAGTGAGCGTGACAGGGTGTCAGACCCTGAAGGTTATGATTTCAAAGAGTTGCAGATGCGGGATCGATTTGGGAGCACCCTGGAAAGAGAGGTGCGTGCCAGGTGTGTATAGTAGAGGGTCCCGGGAAGAGACCCATGACTTCTGATCATCGGGTGAAAGGCCAGCAGGGCCTGAGTCAGTGCAGCACGTACGGGAAAGTGCACAAGGGAATTTGTCGCTCCAAGGGTTTAGGCTGCTACAGGTGTGGCAGGGTTGGTCATGTCAGCAAAAGGTGATAAGGATTCTTGGGTATATTTGGATCTTTGGAATGTCAATTCGGTATGGTGTTAAGCACCCAAGATTGAAACTCAAATTTTGGTTCCGGCTCAGGAGGAGAGCCTAAATCAATTGATGCGCGATCGCAGAAGTTCATCTCATCGAAGATTACTTGTGGAGTTTTGGGAATGGACCTTGGTGGTCTTTCGTTCAGCCAAGGAAGGGGTTTGAGAGCTTAGACAGTTGTCTAGGTGCCTTCCGGCCAGATTTGTCGCGGGGAAGTTAGGGGTTCGTTTGAAACCCAAGGTCTGTGGATCCTTAGAATCCTTCGGAAAGGAAGATCTTATAGTTAGTTCCTGTCATCAAGATCAGGATTTCGTCAGATGGTCGCGGGTATGTCGTCTTCTGCCACTTCAAAGTGGATATTGGGAATCTGTATCGCTTCAGAATTATGAGAGAGTTGGATAAGTCAGATCTCGAGCCGGTTCTCTGTTACTGTCTGGGTTATCAAGGATTGTCATATGTCAATCTGCATGCCGGAAGTCCTTGATGAACCTACAGAGGGATGTATCTTGCGGAGTGGATACCGCGTGTACCATTCTAATCCCGAATCTTTGTCGGGATATGTGCTGGAGTATTATTCAGAGAATATTGGGTAAGGAATAGAGCGATAGTTCTCCAGTGAAGTCATGGTTCAGTGGTTCTATCATTGTTTGGGTATGGTCGTTAGTTGTCTACGGAAGAACTTTGGAATTCAAGGCACTACCGTTGCTAGGACAGAGCTGGTGACATGAAAAAGGTAGTGTTAGTCGCGGGTGTTAGATGCATAAGTGGTTGGTCATAACATGTTCAAGAGAATTGTATTTTCACATTGGCTGTGTTCGGTTAGAGTTCAGTGGTGCTACAAGAGTGGAAGTGGGAACGAGGATTCATCAGCCAGAGTGAAGGGTAAGGTCTTCAGTGGACAGCATGGGAGATGGATTGAGGTATCAGATTGGACTAGATTTCAAGAGTACTCTTCAAGATTTCATAGGATGGGCGATCTTAAGGTTTGTTTGGTGATGGATCGCTAGCATTGGTAAACACAGGTTGTCGTCAGTGGGATACTAGAAAGCGAGAAGGATTGGGAATCCCTCAATTCTCGCATGCCGTGAAGACTTAGTTGAATCTAAGTGGGGGAGAAACTTTTTATAAAGTTCTCCAAATGTGAGTTCTGGTTGCGCGGGGTGCAATCTCTTAGGCACCTTGCCAACCAGAAGGGTATTCTAGTTGATCAGGCCAAGATAGAGGCAGTGATGCAGTGGGAGATTCTGAGGTCTCCATCTGAGATTCGGAGTTCCCTGGGTCTAGCAGGTTATTACCGGAGATTTATACGAGACTTCTCCGAGATTGAGGTTCCTTTGACCCGACTGACCAAGGAGTCGGTGGCCTTTCGTTGGGGGCCTGAGCAGCAGGCAGCCTTCGAGACTCTCAGACATCGGTTATGCGAGGCACCGATTCTCACCTTGACAGAGGGTGTAGATGATTTCGTGGTTTGCTGTGA